AACTTAGCCTTCCACGAATGGCACGTCGCCCGAGTTCCCTTCAAACGGGCGATGGTTACGCTGGCGCCTGTTAACAGTGATATGTTCTGTCGTGGTGTTCAGGGGGGTAATACTGTTGCTACATTTCTAAGGTTGCATCGCTGTGTTTTTGGGATGGAATTGATTTTGAATAAACAATCTTGGGTAACCGTTTTTGGCGAGATTGCTAAATATATCATTTTTTTTTCTTTTTTTTTTAGTTGTGTGCTCACTGGATTGCAGCTCTTTTCATTACTGTCTTTACTACTGACGTATCGCGGATTTTCGGGCGGTCCGAAGGGAACTGATGATATCAGTTAGGGCAGCTGTGCTTGCAGTTTTATTTTCAGGTTGCGAGAACATCCAAAAGTGGCTATGAGCCTCTGTTTCAAGGGGAACTGAATACTTGTTCAATAAATTTAGATGAGAGAATAAATGCGACTTAAGATCTCATGAAACGACTGTCCTTCAGATGAATCTGGTGCTTGAGAAAATACAGATACGGTCGGAATAGAATAAAAGCGTGTTCCTTAGTGTGTTTCATTGTTATATTTGTCACGGCGACATGCAGACACGTGCTCAGAGTTCCAAATAGTGAAATAATAATGATAAAGTTTGTATATTTAACAAACTTAATGCATTGTGATGAGGCATGAAAAAGTAGAGTCGCACAATGTATCTGGAAAGGCAAGGGTGCCTGAAATGCTTTTTTCTTTTTTTTTTCTTTCAGAGGATCGATAGTTAGCTTGGCTTCATTGTGCCAATTTGAATTATACACCATTTGCACATCAACAGTGACGCTAATTGAAAAGACTTTAAATTTGAAGAGCATTGTAGCGGCGACACGCATTTGCCTTCATTCTTACTGAGTCTTTTCTTTGTTTTTACTTCGTGATTCAAAAAGAATGTTTTTCAGCAAGTAGTGTGCTTATTGTTGACTATTTAAAGGCAAACAAGCTACATGACGGATACAGTTCATGTTCGCTATAATGTAAAGGATTTGGGGAAAAGTAACGAAACTACTACCGGCATCGAAACTGGAAATGGGCACCACGTGTTTCACTTCTATAGCGAGTCAGGCCATTGAATAAACTTACCTGTTATTCCTATAAAATTAGCTTCATGACTTTTTATTTGAAGAAAGTTGCACATTTAAAGCAACATGAGCTTAATGTTATTACTTTGCAGCTTCGCCCCTTCACACCATTTAATTGCATTAGGAGCATCCAAGTGAACCAGGTATTGCATGTATACAAGTCAGTGCAGTAGATTTGCCCGTGTGAACCGGATAATGTTATAAGCGGTGAACAACACTGCAAACTCTTGTTCTGGACGTACATGTATCAAAGGGAAAGAAGACACCACATTTTGTAGCATGAAGCCACAAGGAAATTCATACTAATTTCTCAAAAAGAAAGCCTTTTAGTTGCCGAAAAATTCGTCCTAGTACGCGGTTTGAACCAGTGCCAACACCTATCTGGGGAAGTCGCTGTGCCAATTGAGCTAACCAGGAAGCTAGCATTTGACAACACAAGGGTGTATTCATCAACAACTCGAAGCACATGGACACAACTATTATAAATGTATGTTGCTCATTTCCAACGTACATGTATGTAACATTGCATACACAGCTGGGTGAGCTGTTAGATGTAATACATTTTGAAGTGAAATGCACTGTGCACCGAAGCCAATGGCCAAGTCACGCAGGGCATTGTCATTGTACACAGCCCTTCGTAGACTTCCACCAAGAATAAAATAAGAACGGTCAGACTGACGACTCGTCACAACACTCCTTTTATTTTTGTACAAAGCTACTTCACTGGAAATGAACGCAACTTAAGTTACATAGCATGCAGTTTCTGCTCTTTCTGTATAGGAGCATATATGTGAATACGACATAATTAATAGAATAAATCTGGCAATTTTGCCCTCAAGCCACTTCTTGAATTGAAACGACAACTTGAAAACAAGGCTGCACTTACAGAGGGGAGAGGGGTTGACCTCTGGTGGGGGGAATTAAAACCCCTGATTCCCACCCCCTTCAGTACACCACCAACGTAAGTGACTCGGCGACAAGGACATTGGGACTTGTAATAGGAAGGTTAGGTTGGCCTCTGGGGGGGGGGGGGGTTACAACCCCCTAAATCCCCTCCCCGTCGGTGCGCCAATGTCCGAGGGTTAGTAAACATGTGCCGCATTTGATGACATTCCAATGCATTTTCCAGAAGGCTGCTGAAGGAGGATTCTGTGCAAACACCTGGCATGTTCACAAAAGGCAGGCCACATGTGTCATCGAACTCGCCGTACAAACCAGCTTTTGCAGCCACTCAGCTCTATCCCAGTTTGTTTTGTTTCTTTAATGTTCACTTTTATTTCAGAGCATCTAAGTATATCAACCTATCCTTCATGTATTAAGGTGATAGTATGCAAGGGCCAGTGGTGGTTAATGTCTGCCATTTTGCTACAATTCCATATTCCTGCGCCTTGCTGTACACATTGAGTTCAATGTGTCCACCTGTTTACATGGCATCAGCCCGCTTATAGCCACGGACTATTGTTGGTCAAAACAAACACAGCCAGGGGACTATTTCTAGGGGATTCTAGACAATGAGCTCCTTTTAGTTTTTTAGCCACCTTGTCCTCTTACAGGTGATTTTAGCCTACTTCGCATTTAACTAAATCTTTGACTTTTTTTTTGTCATGAAAGTGGAGAAACTGAACTTGTGAAAGCAATTAAAAGTGAAAAATATTTAATTAAAAAAATACTTTTTTCAAGTTGCACCTCCCACTAAAACAACCAATATTATGCACATCGTCGTTCCTTACAATGCGACACAGCTGAGCTGTCCTTTGAAAAGTGAAGCATTGCAATAGAATGGGAAGGTGGTATGAACGGATCGCGACCACATTATCACATTTTATTTTTCAAGGCGAAGCTCAAGCGTTCTCCAAGTTTTTAGGGCAAGCTGTGCGCAATGACCAAAATCTTCTGGAGACTCACAGGATGATTACAGGGAGCCGTTCGTAATTAAGCAATTGTGCGCAAGGGAATATAGTCATAGGAACTGAAAACATAGTTAGGCTGGTTTCATTGGTAAACCTGGTAAGAAGTTCTCATTGTTTTTTGGCAGCACAGTTTCTGGCACACTTCAGTGTTCAGTGCCTGTGTCACACAGGCACTTTTGAAAAGCCACCCAGGCCATGGCCATCAAAACGCCGTGACCTCATTGGCTCAATCAAGTTTTCACACTGCTACATGGGCTTTGAATAGCTATTGAGCGTTTGTGGCGTGTTTCACAAAAATTGTGTGCTGCTGCAGATATTTATTTTCGTATTCATGCCGTATACCGTTAAATTATATGAATTTAGCTTAAAGCTTGAACACGTGTGTTGTTTTTGTTCAAACATTTCAATAAATTGTTTATTTGTTGTGAATACACATTTTGTTTTTAAGTTCTTGACCAGCGCCACTGTGGCGAGCTATATGCAGTTAGATGGTGTGGTTAAGACGAGCACATTGCTGTTGCCACATTTCAAGTGGCAAGAATGCCCTATTCAATAATTCGTAATGTTCATATAATAGTGCTTTTAAAGCATGCAAGCTCATTTTTTTTTCTAATTGCAACTGCATGCACATTGTGAAAGAGAGGGCATGTTCATGCTGTTTCCACTTCCATTGTTCCATCGACAGCGAAGTTTCGATAGAGTTGTGGGGTGCTCCATTGGCTCAATGAACTTTTGACTCATGCCTGCACATTTGACCGTTGAGTCAATAGACTATTGATTGGAAGGCTTTTGAAGTGCCCATAGGACAGGGGTATAAGCACTGTTAGCATTGTGGTTGCTGCTTCTCTCGTGTGTTGTTTCTTCACCAGGATACATCTTTTGAACTTGTTCAGGGCTCTTGAAAACAAGGCAGTATTGTAGCTTTTCCTGTTAAAAAATAATTTAAAAATATACAACTGATTTTCCTTGCATCACTGTTGTAAGCAACATTTGGCTGTTAATTTCAGAAATCGTACTTTTTGCAGAAATAGTTTATGGGTTTGCTGCAAATCTGTTTTTTTTTACAATGTCCAATTGTTTGTCTCAAGCTCTCTAAATTATCAGCCAGCTGGGAGCAATAGAGAAAAATGGAGTATTGTGAAATTAAAGGGACACTAAAGTAAAACAACAATTTGTCAGAGTAAAAGCTCAATGTATCGTGTCTGAAACAACTATATTATCAACATCAGTGCCCTACTTACTGAGAAATTAAGGTAAATGCATGAGAACACATGCGCTCTGATAGGACATTTGCAAAATGATGCCTGTTGTATCAGATGTACTGCCTACAATTAATCACTAGTAATTGAATTAGCTGCACTAAATAATGAACCTGTGCTTTAAGAGACATAATAAAATGCTGCTTGTTTGTTTCTGTTCGATTCATTAAAAAAAAAATGCCTGACGTTACTATGGGGAATGGCACGAGTGGTTCAAAAGTTCAATCTTTGCCTGATTAAATGGGACAGGTCGTGACGTCTAGCAGGGCCTAGTTGAACCAAAACACTTCTGCCACCTCGAGCCCATGGCAGGACTTGTTCAATGGTCAGTTCGCTGCTTTCGTTCTGCTGCTATAGTGTCGGCGGCCGCGCAGTCCAGCTGGGCAACGTTGTATGCCGCAACAGTGACGTGGCATGTTCCGCTTGAGGCAGGTAATTTGAAGTGCGCTAACTCGATGCGAACCACTAAAACGTTATTTTATTTCAAAATTACCACTTTCTTGGCACAAAAATAATGCCTAGAGGTTTCTGGACCGCTATTTCAACAATCAACGTCGACTTAATAGTTGCCTTTAGTGTCCCTTTAAGAACATCGCTACATTTCTCAGGCCCTAGTCGCAGTGGCTCCCTGCGCTCTTGATGCCTGGCCGTAGTTGCACTTCACAGTACTGCTTAAGTAAAAACTCCCGTTAACACCTTTGTTATTTTTAATTGCAGTGACTCCCCATCTGGATCAAAAAGCAATTCTCCTTCAGAACCCAAAAATAATTCAGCCAAGAAGGTGGACATATTTAGAAGCAGCAAAAGGAAAAGTGCCAGTTCCAAAATATCAGGAGCCACAACAAAAATTAGTACCAGTCCATGCACCATTAAGACACCGAGTGAGGTTATCATCATTGACGAAGACAGCATTGATGATGGGAAAAACTCTGAACAGTCTAACGGAAATGTCGAAGCAGCTCTGGAAAACAAGAAATGCAATGGAGTTGTGCTTGAGGAAGGCCAGCAGACAAGGAGAGACAGCAGCATAGAAAAACTCAGCACCACTCTAAAAGATGCAGTTAAAAGCAACAACTATCAAGAAGACAGCGGTGGTAATGATGACATGGTAAATGAGTGCAGTAAAGACAATATGGTGCCCAAAGCCGTAGGGGACGTGAAGATGGACTTGGGAGAAATCGAGCAGCATTCGCCGGAAAAGCTTCAGCCGTCCAAGGAAGCTTGTGAGGCGGCTAGCATCGCCCAAGTTGCAAATAACCCCTCAAGTGGTCAGGATTGTGATATGGCTGCCCCCATTGAAATCAAGGACAAGAAACAATCTCCCGAGCCGAGTGGTGGTGGAAAACCAGAATCTGGGAATGCGGCAGACCTCCCAAAGAAAGCTCCACGACGAGTTCAGCTGGTTACATTATGTACAAAGAAATTGTGACGAATTAGCAGACTTTGGTGGTAAAGTTGCAAGTGGAAGCCCAATATGGGAATGATAACTGGCCTGAGGTGCATCAGAAGCACTCGGAGAATATTGAGCATGAAACCAGGAGAGCTGGCATTCCTGTATTGATATTTCACTTGCAATTCATTGTACATGACACTGTAAGTTAAATTTTAACGTTTTGTAGCGCTGCCAATTACTTTGCATGTTAAGCCTATACGATGCTTTTGTAATAAATGTATTGTGGCAATGTACTATGGTTGTAGTGAGCAAGCCTTTATTTTCGTCTCGCGAGATGTCCTTACTGCATTGAGCACAAGAGTTCTGCACTGTGGGCACTGTAAAACTAGAGCCTTTGATGTGGAATGCTCAGTCGTCGGCACTCTTCAGTCGTTCGTCTACGGTCTTCTTTAGAGTGGCGAAGTTTGTCTTTAACTCTTGGTAATCCTTCATGTCTTCTTTTATTGCATCAACCGACTTTCGCAGCTCTTGAAAGTGCTTCACCTTTTCATGCATTGATGCAGTTGATTCTTTCATCGTATGCATAATGGATTTGAGAGTCTTCAAGTCTTTAGCTACATCTGCAAGGCCTTCTTGCTTGGTATCGCTTTTTGTAGAGAATGTGTCTTTCAGGTCATTCAACAGTTGGACATTCTTCTTTACCTCGGCGAGAGTTGCTTTTACTTCTGCCAGTTCCTTAAACTTTTCTGAAGCTTCAAGCTTTTCCGACACAGTAGCCCCAATGCTTGCCTGCAGCTCTTCAGTCTTTTTAATGAAGCGCTTGTTTAGTGTCTGCAAGCTGTTTTGCAACCTCTGGATACTGTCGTTTACTGTCTGCATGGAAGACAACTGTGTGGTGGCCTCTTCCAGTTTCTTGGCTGTGTCCTTGTTAATTACTTCGCTTTGTTCAAGTTTATCGATTTTCTCGCGTATTTTGTCAAGCTCCACCGACAGAATATTAATACGCAAAAATCCATCCTTAGTTTCTTGAAGCGATTCTTCTATGGCATCAATGTCTTCAAATTTCATTTTTAGATTTGAAACTTCAGCAACTACTTCATCAAGTCCAACTTTGTCCTTTGTATCTTCTGAGGTGCTCTTCAGATGATCGATGTCAGTGCCGATTTTCTGCATTTTCTCTTGTATCAGTTTGACCTCCGTCCTGTACCCGTCAAGCTCGGTGCGGTATTCCTGAGTCAGCACTGGATTGCTCCTGGCGAAGTCCCCAGCCTCCTTCACTACTGCCTTCAGTCCAGTTAGATCTGACGATATTCCTTCAACCTTGTCATTAAGGGCACTATATTTTCCCAGATCATCCTTGATAGTGCTTAGTTCATTGACAACTTGCTCCATATCCTTAAGCTTGACTGTAGACTTTAGTTCATCGATTACTTCAACGCATTTCTTAAGCATCTCCACTTGCTGGGTAAATGCTTTCTTCTTGTCGCCAGAACTCGTAATGTCACCAAGTAAAGTCTGCTCAAAGTCTGTGACGAATTCCATCACATGCTTCATGTCCTGAATAGCAGCAATCGAGTTCTTCATCTCGGTCACTGTGGTACTCAGGTTTGCATATTCCTCCACACTTTCACTCAGCGACTCCACATGCTGAACAATATCTCCGATCCTCAGTTCCATGGTCTCCTTCAGTACTCCAAGGTCCTCAATGCTTGTTCCATAAACCCTCAGCTCTTCCTTAATGGCATCGAATTCCTCAGTCACATCTGCCATGTTGTCTTTCATTTGGTTGCGCAAGCCAGAAATGCCATTGACAATCATACTGTAATCTCCCTTCTCATTCTGCATCTTCTGCAATTCCTTCTTGACTACTTCTAGCTCCCGGGTGGTCTCATCCTTGAGTGCCTGCATCCTGGTGGCCATCTTGCGTACGTCTTCATGCACCTTGTTCACCTTCTGCTGCAGCGTCGTAACTTCATCAAGCCACGGTGCCTGTTGCATGATGACAGGTGCCGCTTGGAGGTGCTGAGTCATCATTGCCTGTGGTGTCATGGGCATTGGTTGCATGATCATTTGTGGTGGCATAGCCGGAGCCTGCATGGCCTGAGACGGCCCAGTTTGCACTACGTGGCTCTGCACTGGTCCCATGGTTGTCTGCTCAACCATGGTTTTCGGTGGTGCTGTGCGCATCGCGGGTACTGCTGGCTGGGCAGCTGGCGCTGCGGCGACTCGCTTACTGTTTTCAGACTTGGGAATGCGGGAACAGTCCTTGCGTGCGTGGCCTGGAACCTCGTGAAGCTTAATCTTCTTGCCACACATCTGGCATTGGACGGCCTGGAACTCGCACTGCTTGAGGTGATCTTTCATGCCCCGCAGTGTGTCCAGCAGGCGGCACCCATTGCGACGGTTGACGCATGCCACGCGCAGCGACAGTAGCAGCTCGGTGTTGTTCCGTTCGAACTTGGCCTTGCTGGTAGAAGTCTCCACCTGGGTCCAATAAGGCATAATTGACACCAGCTCTGCATTCACACCACAATGTAGCGAATCCACGCATAGCGGACAAAAAAACTTTCATGTCCTAGATGGAAAATGGACAAGTAGCTTACTCAGAATTGATATATGGTCAGAGGGAATGTATAGTGCTACAAATTGGTGTCATAGATTTTGCAGTAGAAGTGTGCTGCTATTTACTGACCCACAGTTTTCTCATTTACATGACGAGGCAGTAGAGGTAGAACAAAGATATTGAAATATTGTTGATCCGGCAAGAACAGAGAGTGTTAAAATTTTTCTTTAGTTAGTGTCTTGTCAGTTTACGGGGGGTTCTGTAATGTCGGACGCCTTTAATAATGGACCTCCTTACCAGACACCACTGAAATTTAGAGAATTTTTTAATCGTATTTTTGTTAGGCAAACTAAATATGATAATGATCTCACTGTTACTTTGTCACGGGCGCATAGCCGGAAATTTTTCCCGGGGGAGGGGAGGGAAGAGCTCGCAAGGGGCACCCCCTTCAAATGGTCATTTTCGCCCTATTTTTCGTGTATTTCGGGGGGAGGGGGGCATGGGAGCAAGGTGTGCCATCCCCAGGTTATGCCCCTGCCTCCCCACCGCGAAGTGAGTGTCACTGCCAAAGTAGAGCTTGCGTGCTCTCGACTTCTTACAGGCGAGCATGTGCGTCGTGCTCACTCAAAGGGGTCTTGCGACACTTTTTCAACGTGGTCAGAAAGAGCTGTCGATCGGTAGTCTAGGCTCCTGGGAACACGCGGGCCAAACATATCGCAGCACACGACCAGAAACTGATGATTCTCAGCTAGAAATATTTCCCTCTCTTTTCTACAGATGATGTCATATACCCAAATGACCCCGCCGTATACTTAAATACACGGCCATAGGCTTATTTGAACATCGTGAGCTGCATACTGACCGCGGCCGCCACTGGAGGCACCCGGCACACAACGTAAGCCGCGCGGTCGATAAAAAAAAAGTAGTGATGCGCGCGGAACTTCGTTCCCCGTGCCGTGCAGCTTCCAGCGCACTCGTCGGGACGATAGGAGAGAGAAATTAATTGCAGCGTGCGACTAATCTCAACTCCGCCCGTACTTTGCCGGCGGTCGATTCGTGAGGCCATATACTTCAATGTAGTCATTCAATGGTTGATTGTAAAAGTGTTGCAGAGCCCCTTTTACTGGCCCCACCACCCTTTATTCGGAAAGAATGAAGAACATGTCAAGATATTCTAAAGAGCGCTACAAGTTAACTTCGGTAGCCTTCACTGGCGGGAGTCACGTGACTGGATAGGCAATGTCACGTGTGACGTCATGCAACTGACAAAATGAGTTAAATGAGATGGCTGAAAAATATTCCTGCGGGCTGCAGCAGGATGAATTTGCTTTTAGCCTCAATTTTCGAAGCTGTGTTGCTTTTCTATACGCGTAAGACTTGCACGTCTTGATAAGCGCAAAGCCACAATCACGCAATGTAAAGACGTGAACAGTACTAGCGCGCTTCCTCTTCACGTATCTCCCGTGCGATTGTGGTTTTGCGCTTGTTAAGATGTATAAGTTCGGTTACTACCAGTTAGATCAAATTTCTGCGTTCCATATGACTGTATGCACAACACTGCAGTCTTATGTTGGGCGATTCATTTCCTAAGCCACAACTCAGTTTTATGCGATGAAAGTAACGTTTGGTCAAATCGGCGCAAGAGCCCGCCATACTGGAAGCTTCCCTAAACGGTCACCAGATCTTTCTCTAGTATAATTCATTGTATATGAAGCGCTGAAGATCCATATATGGCACGCGCTATTTCGCACCTTGTCGATGGGGCAGACGATGCTGGGGCCCTCTCCCTGGTCGCGGAAGCAAAAGCTGCAGAGGACATGCTGGCAGCCGACGGTGGCTGTTTTCGCTGAGACGACGCCGCACAGCGAGCACAGGCGTATCTCGCGCGAGAAGGTCAGGAACTCGACCTGCGTCCAGTCGGGGATGCCCAAGTCGTCGAAGCCCACCAGCAGCCTCTTCTCGGACAGGCTGGCCATGGTCGGACCGGACCAGGCGTAGCGGGGACGTTGGCCTACTTTGCGCGCGGTCAGCGTGGCAGACGGGGCTCCCGCAGCTCCACGTCGAGCCAACGTTCCTGCGAGGGCACGAGCCGTGCGCTACGCCGCTAGCTGCTGCCGGCACGCTCTAGCACGCGGCATGCGGCCGATGATGATTACTAGCAAATGACCACCTGTACTGTGAATGCTACCTTTAGATATCTAAACGAGTAACTCTACGCAGCGGGTTGTCGCACACGGCATACCGTCGATGAAGATGAGGCTTGGCAAATGACAGCGGGTGTAGAGGGGGGAGGGGGACCTTGAACTTTCGACTTTCACTGGGTCCTACTTAGTTCCTTATTGGTAAAGATGAAGCAAATTGATCTCCCATGAGACCATAGACTTAACATACGAAGTTTCGGCTAATTTTGTTGAGCCAATGTCGTCAAAAAGGAGTTAAGTACACTGATACCCGTGATGTTACGTGCTCAGATTTCAGCGCGAAATTTTAAAATGTAACATTGACCTTGCTTATCTACTCTGCTAATAAACTTATGGTAGGGAAATTAGCGAGATTAGAATTCTTTGAGCATAGTTTCTAAATCTAAACCCATTCATTGTTTCATTTCAGTGTCCCTTTAAGAAACTCTTGGTGGTCGATATTACCCGTAGCCCTCCACTACTGCGTGTCTCATTACCATATTGTTGTTTTGGCCCATAAAGCCACAAGAGTTATTATAACCTTTTGA